GGCTGTGTTTAGTTCGCGAAATTTGGGAATTTGGTTACTGTAGCACTTTCGTTTTTATTTGGCAATTAGTGTTCAATCATAGACTAATTAGGCTCAAAACGTTCGTCTCGCGATTTCCAACCAAACTGTGCAATTAGTTTTTTTTCATCTACATTTAATGCTCCATGCACGTATCGCAAGATTCGATATATTGGCTACTGCAGCACTTTTTGAAAAAAAATTTGGGAACTAAACACAGCCGTACTGCTGGGCTTGTAAAACCTGAAGTTTGGAGTTTTGGACTTTGATTTGAAGGCGAAGACATGACAAGGAGTGAACGAGACAACGTACAACCACTAATCCGTTTGTTTGCCGCCCGACGAAGCAACCTGGCGGCAGGCGATGCGTTGAACCTGGACGTGTACACATCGCACGCCGGAACCTGGCGGCACGCTCGGGCACCCGCACCCTCGCGTACGCACCGCCCGCCCGCGAACCCTGACGGCGCCCGCCCGCGTCATCCTCCCCGTCCCGTGTGCATACCTTTCCCGCCGGTCCTTCTAGAAGTCACCAACACACCCGTCCGGTCCCGTCGCTTCCGCGCCCCACAACAAATCACTAACACCACCACGGACTCTCAGATTCGGTGCGGCCATATATTCCTTTCGCCACCATGCGGCAGAGCCCAACCCAGAAACAGAGAAGGCGTTAGGCGTGAACACCGAGAAGAAGCAAGCCAGCCAACAAACCGACTCCCTAATCGAGTCATTGTCCAGTTGTCCCCTCCCCTCTCGCCGGCGCTTCTCTTGCCTGCTCCGATGGCCGCTGCCGCCGCCCCCACGAAGACGGCGAACATCCCCGCGACGATGCGGACCGTGCAGTACGACGCCTGTGGCGGGGGCGCCGCGGGACTCAAGGTAACCGGCTAACCGCACAGCAGTTCCAGTTTTTTCCCCCTCCCGCTACTTCCTCTACTGAAGGAAGGGGGAGGGGGCCATATTGCCCACGCATGGACTAGATTGGATTGTTGGTTAGCGAGCGCTAAGGACGACAACAAGTCAATTGGTGGATTCAGCAGTCCATGGAACAATCGGTTTATATCTAATTAATGTATGACTGGCTTAGTGCAAGCGATTGGTTGTTTTAGGTCTAGATAGACAATCGGTTTATATCTAATTAATGTATGACTGGCTTAGTGCAAGCGATTGGTTGTTTTAGGTCTAGATAGAAGTACCTGTTTGCTGTTGACTAGTTGTTCTCTCTGTTCCCCTTGTTGTGGACTTGTGGCACTTGTCTTCTCCCTGTTCCCCTGGATGGAAATTCCAGTCACTTGACCAGATTCCACTACGAACATGTTCGCTTGAACATATCAGCCAACGTACAGTGTTTTTATCTCACAACAAATCAGCTTCAGGCCCGCAGAAACCATCAGCCGAACAGCGCGCATGCTACAGATAGTTCGAACTTTCTATATATAGTCTTTGTTGGCGAAAAGAGCACTGCAGATTTCCACTTGGTGTCTACTGCAGATTATCTTGCCCACAACTCCACAAGTGGTCATCAGGTCAGAGGAATGAAATTAATCTACGGGTACTGGGTGGTGTCAATTGGATGGCTGAGTGTTGACTGGTTCTGAATTTGGGTGACTCTCTGACTGATGAATGCTTTTTACACACACAGGAAAACTAATTTGATCTGGGGGATCTGGTCCTTTGCTCTAATACTTTCTGTTGCAAAGATTTTAGATTTTTCATATTGTTTTTTGGTTGAAAATATACTAGGTCGACAAAATATTCCTTGTGTTTTGAGAATCTTTCCTTTGTGAGGCAAAAAAAACCAGCCCACTGATTTTCAAATGCCTCTAATGCAGCATGTGGAAGTTCCAGTCCCGTCGGCCAAAAAGAACGAGCTTCTATTGAAGCTGGAAGCAGCAAGCATCAATCCAGTGGACTGGAAGATACAGAAGGGGATGTTGCGGCCTTTCCTGCCTCGTAAATTGCCTTTTATCCCAGGTAATCATGCTTATTACTCATTCAATAGTAGTTGATTCTGACTACGATCAATAGTTGGCCATTTATATTTCATTTATGCTTATCATACTGATGTTTATGCGTTTAACTTGGCCTGCGCCATACTATTTATGTCCTTAATCCTGTCTATCATCTTCTTCTTTTGATACTGTCTATCATCTTCTGATAACAGTTAATGATGACATGTATTTTAGGAATATTGGATCATTTACACATTGTTATGCTTGTATCCTAGAAACAAATAAGTCAGTTTCTGTTTCACCTTATTTGTGCATATGCAGTATCCTGAACATAGAAATTTGCATCACACAAGAGATAACCGGGCAATGACTGTCATGCAATGCTCTGTCCAACTTCTCTAAGGTTGTTTCTGCTAATTCCTCCATGTTCTGCAGTGACTGATGTGGCAGGAGTTGTGGCTGATGTTGGTCCAGGAATCATTGGATTCCAAGCCGGAGATCAAGTTGTTGCTATGCTGAACTCATTTGTAAGCACATGTTCTTGACTCTTTTTTTGTGAACAACTTGACTATGTTATTTTGAGTATGAAGGCATCAACTCTGCGACATGCGGAGCCTTGGTGATCTTTTTGTAGTTCAAAGCTGTATGTTGGATTGCTAGAATTATTTGTAGTGCATCAGTCGACCTCCATATGTTGTGTTCAATGCGCTGATCATTTATTGGAAGGGATGTTCTGACTTGATGTTAACAACAATGTCCTCTGTTTTACCAGAATGGAGGTGGACTTGCGGAGTATGCTGTGGCATCAGAAAATCTGACCGTCAAGAGGCCTCCCGAGGTATCTGCTGCTGAAGGCGCAGGGCTGCCCATTGCTGCTGGTACTGCGCTCCAGGCGCTTAGGACCATCGGTGCCAAGTTTGACAGTACTGGCCAGCCCTTAAACGTTCTGATCACCGCAGCATCAGGTGGTGTCGGTCTCTACGCCGTGCAGCTAGCGAAACTGGCTGGTCTCCACATCACTGCTACCTGTGGCGCGCGTAACGTAGAGCTGGTGAAGAGCCTGGGCGCAGATGAGGTGCTTGACTACAGGACGCCAGAGGGTGCCAGCCTGCAGAGCCCCTCAGGTAAGAAGTACGATGGCGTCGTCCACTGCACTGTCGGGATCAGCTGGTCGACGTTCGAGCCTGTGCTAGCCACCACAGGGAGGGTGATAGACCTTACCCCAAACTTCACTGCCATCCTCAAATCGGCGCTGCACAAGGTGACCTTCGCCGAGAAGCGGCTGGTGCCGCTGCTCGTGTCGCCCAACAAGGCGGACCTAGAGTTCCTGGTCGGGCTGCTGAAGGACGGCAACCTCAAGACGCTGATTGACTCGAGGTTCCCACTGAGCGAGGTGAGCAAGGCGTGGGAGAAGAGCATCGAGGGCCATGCCACCGGAAAGATCATTGTCGAGATGGGAGGCTGATCTGGGATGCCTCTATTACCGACTTAGACTTGCAGGGAGAATATACTTAGTATGCTCAGATTCGGAGTACTAGTGTCTGAGTTTGGTTGTCGTACAAATTATTCGTGTGGTGAACCAGTTTATAGGCTTGTTTTTCTTTTGTTTTCAACTATGAACTTAGCTTCTTGTACAGTTTAGGGGTTTATGGATTTGCATGATTGATCAGCAAAGTCGCATTGTAATTACATGTTTGGGAGTTGATATATTTCTGCTTGAATTTTTAGCAATTTTCAGACAACAATCTCACAGAAACAATTAGTACAACTGAAAAGACAGCTCATAAGAGAATTTATATTTTTCTTTCTATAGACAAACAATGACAAAATTACATGCTAGTCTACCAAGTAGCGTTTTTTATGTGAATGCAGGCAACTGTGTAGAAATCCTAACAGTACAAATCTATCTCGTGTTTGTTTCTTGTGACTCGACTGTCAACATAGTTGCCGGTTTACTCTCTGTAGGAAATTTCTCACTGCTTAGTGCTTACACTAACTCAAATTAACACACATCTGATGTGTTGTAGTTATATTGCAACGATGACACATATTTAGATACTTAAGAACTGTCCTAGTCTAGTGGCCACCTGATGTGTTATAGTTATACGACATTGATGAGAAACTTAAGAACTGTCCTAATCTAGTAGTGGCCAAGGAAGACGTTGCAGGTATAGATATACACTTACATGCAGGCATGGAGCTATTCTCTTGATAAAAATACATCAAACAAGGGCTTGAAAAATTAGAACAACGGAGCTCAAAATCAAGAAAAGCATTGCACAATCCAAAATAGCAGATGCTTACAGAGCGATACATATTTGCACCCTAGTAAGAGAAGGGCGCAAACACAAGGCATGTTTGGGCTGGACGTATTTCACAAGAAAGTTTTGTTCGCCTCAAAACAGTTTCAAAGCACAGATTAGGGGTATTTCCTATTTAAGTTTTGAAATTTAATACAAAATTTCAATTAAAAAACTCAATTTTACAAGCAAATAGAGCTCAGCCAAACGGAAGACATTCCGACTGTACAAGATTCCAATATTCCAACTGTTTTCCAAGCCTTTCCACCTAGCAATATGGCACGGAATGTAGCTGCTGACAAGAGGTGGCATAAAAGGAAGACATTTCCCAGGGCATTGGCATATTCCAGAAACAAGAAAAATATCTCACTCATATTAGCAGCACTAGACCATAACTTATTCCACGACAGCCAATAAAATAAAATACTATAAATTGCTGGCACCTCAAATCAACCTCTATAATTTGGCAATAAGTAACAAAGGGAAAACACAAATCAGCTGCTCGCCGAAGCCAGTCATACTAGGACATCTCAACAGACGTATATTCTACAATTAGTAACCGATATCACCACTGCTTTGCCTTGCCACAAAACAAGGAAGCATCAATTTATGACCTGACTTTTGTTGATTATCCTCACATGAACTTGAATCCCCCATACCCACCACTCTTTTGGTCAACCATGATGGTTGCCATAAAACTCAACTATTACCGACTCATAGCTACCAAGAACTCACTTTGCGACAGCAGTGGCGGCAGATGGTGCCCGGGCACCACGACCACTGGCTGTACCAGAGTGGTCGACTCGCTGGTAGCCGACGTCACCTCCACGTGATGAGCCACCCCTGCCACCACCTCGGCCTCCATAATCAGATCGATAACTGAACTCGCCCCTTCCGTACCCTCGGCCTCCATTGTATGTACCACGGCCTCTAATGCCTTCACCTCGGAAGTTGCCACCTCTACCCGGTGGAAACCTTCCTCCCCTGCTACCACCTGAAGCCAGAAAATGATGACCATCAGTTTAAATGACAAAAAAAAAAGTGAAAGGCAAGCTGTCTATCATGACCAAGAAAAATGCACATGCATGGTTTTACACCTGAACTTATCTTGTTATTTTCCAGGTCATTTGTGCTTCAGAAATGACACTTTTCCATAGACAACCAAAATAATAAGTTAATACTCTATAATCATTTTGTCTGATGATTTTCTAGGTACTATCATGAACTAAAAGTAACACTTTACAGTCTTCACCTGCATCCTAAAATGCAACCTGTCACAGCCATGCTTTTGTTTACCACTATTGTCAGAAACAAATACATATCCTTTCCCAAAATAAACAAACTGGCATTGCACAACTAGTAACTATTATTTTAGGTAGAAAATAATGGCAAAGGATTTTATGGACTTGCCACGAGAACCAGTAGTTCTTTTCTCTTCAACATAACATTGCCGTTCACCAATAGTAACAGGAGAAGCCTGCAATCAAGAATTATTATCAGATAAATAAATATCAATTATAATAGGCCCATAGGCCTATCATTCAAGTAGGCAGCACTTGTTGGAGCAGTTGTATAAGATACTCCATTAGAAAGAGAAAAACATAACTATTGCATTCATGTTCAAAAAGGAGTTACACAACCCCTAGAACACCATAGTACCATACCAGATGACCAGACCCAAAACCACACAACTGAGCAGAAGGAATCAAGAAAACAATCAAAACGTAGTGGGTAATCGAGGTTTGTGGATGGGTGAGGGTGTGATGCTCTGTGCCAGAGGAGAAAGATATCCAGACAAGGAAAAAATATAGCTGACTTCAAATTTAAGAATCTATCAGTTGTTAACTAGACAAAGCACTGGAGGGTAACAACAAGAAAGCGAAAACAAATTAGTTCACTGGTGGCGTTCCAACAGCATCTTCATGCCAAAACAGCAGACAAGGGTCATCGGTAAAAAGCCATGGGCTAAGGCTATGACCAAGAGAATAAACAAAACAATAGTGGGTCTGGATCGCTCTATAGTTTGATAAACAATGTTCTTTGAGGGCGCTTGATGTGATCCAACCCAAACGAAGCATGCCAATCTAATCCCCTGTGATACTACTATAACAAGAACTTGCCACAGAAACTATAATTCAGAAATAAGTGCCATCATCCAACACAGTGCACAATCAATTAGCAGAAGTATGATAAATGCCTGTAAGTATAAAAGTTAAGTAGCTCAAAGAAAAACTGTGCTCTTTTGTATTTTCTGCCAAAGATTGATTAATGACTTACAGAAACTAAACCCACAATATACCAATATACCACCTAGCTTATCTACTGGAACACCACTTGAGTGATACAAAATTGTTTACTCCAAGTAAACTAAACTCACTAGTTACACAAACCTTATGGTTATGGAATGGCCCAACAGTCATTGAAAAGAAACTGACATGAGCACAGGGCGTGCATAAAATTAGATTAACTACCTATACCTCATATCATAAAGCAACCTGAGAAAAATGTAACGTTAATACCTCTATTGCAGTTTGAACTGCACTGGCATCCTCAAATTCTACAAAGCCATAACAAAACCCTTGGATCTGTGTTTATTCAACAGAAACACAAAGACAAATTAGAGAGTTAGACTCACTGAAGGCTCTTAATTTTTTTTGAGAACAAAAATGAGAAGAAAAGCAAGTACCTTGTTGCTTCTAACTTGGATGCCTTCATGTTTAATGGCGCCAAATCTCTTGAATTCTTCCTCTAATTGTTGTGGTGTGGCATTTAATGGCAGACTTCGCACATATATGGCATGTGCATCAACTTTGAAGATGATTGTAAAGCACGTGAGATGGCGCCAACTGAAATCAAAGTTTTATCTCCAAATTTGGGTTTGGATAATACCTTCTGGATCTTGAAAGCTGCCGCTCTGAGGATTAGGGGTGAAAGCTGGAGCATCAGCAACCGGAGCGGGGGCAGGAGAGGCTTGCTTCTCTGTTTTCGGGGGTGCAGGTCTGGAAGGAACTGCAGGTGCTGGTGGTCGATATTCTTTCATGACTTTTACCTGGAGCATATAACAAAAAAATGTCATAATAATGGTAACAACAGAAAAACATAAATGGCATGAAAAATAGACTCATAACATGCTATACAGATCACAGCCAACATCACAAAATCAAGAAAGCCTCAGAATTTCTTCACCAGAAGGCAACAACTCCATTACAAGTAAAACAATACAGCCACAAGAATCAACATGAAAATAACCAAATTTTCATTCATGTTCCCAACCAAAAAGTTACTTAATGCAGCAATGTTGGGAATTGTTCAACAGATCACTTAGTGCAGCATTGACACTAAGAACTTAGAAGTTTCACAACATTTAAGCTTCCGGTTACAGACAATGTTGGGAATATGGCAAAATCATCTCTATTGCTAACCCAAATTCACTATAATGATACAAAATATATTAAGAAATCCCAAAAAAATTGAAAAAACTTTTTTGCCTTGTACGACCAGATATAAGATTGTCAGAAATGCATGCACAAATTAAGGTACTGATTTTATTCCGTGATGTTGAGCATGATACAAGAAAATGAACGGCTTTTGAAAACCTACAATTGAAGCATATGACTTCTTTGGTGCCTCCTCCAGTGGTACAGGGGGAGATGAAATTGGTGGAGTGACTGCTACATTATTCGGCACTTCATTTATGACCTCAGGAACCGGTGTTTCCTCAACAACAGGCTTCTCCACATCATTTGGCAGGTTACAAACCTCCTCCCCGTTCAGAACTTCCTCCTTTGGATTAAGTGCAGGCTCAGCCACCTGGCAGTCGGGCTGAGGCGAAGCATCTACAAACAGACAAAGAAAGAAAAGCGGTTCAAACACATGATTCAGATCACAGCAACAAAACAGTTTCAAAGATGTTATAGCTACACACCCCGAGGAACGGTCACTGTGTCCCCTCCGACAGTGCCGTTGGCCAGGATAGGAGCAGGGGTGGCGGTCTCCACATCCGCAGCAACCTCTGGTGCCAGCTGCTGCTGCGGCGGCTGCTCGGCCCCCTCGTCCCCTCCCCCCTCCCCAACGTAGCGCAGTATGTCGTTGAGAACGAAGTAGCCCTTCTCCTGCGGCGCAAGGAAGAAGGACTGCACGAACTCGCGGCTGACGCCGTTCCTCCCCGTAAGGTGGCCCATGACGAGCACGGTGACGCCGCCACAGAGCGATTCCTGCGCGTCCACCGCCTTGATCTCCGCCCGGTCGATGCCCATGGACACGATCTTCTCGTTAATCGCCTGCAGAACCAGACGCGCGCGCGCACACGCAAATCAGAGGCACACCAAAACCCCCCCTCCATTGCGGTGAGAATTAGGCCTGGGGGCGCCCAGATCTGGGCTGCGGGAGTGTAAGAGAGGCGGCGTGGGCGAGGAACTTACGCCCATGGTGGTGACCGTGTCCATGCCGTCGGCGCCGGTGCCGGCGGGGCGCCCGAGGCGGCTGGCCTCCTGGTAGAAGCGGTAGACGAGCTCCGGCGACTGGTGCAGGATGTTGTAGTACTGATGCACGAAGGCGTTGCCCACCTGCGCAGAACAAGAGGAGGGCCGCCACGGAGCACGGCGCACGAATCGAGTCAGCGCGGATCCAGCGGGCGAGCCCGGCCCCGGGGGCGGGCGGATCGGGGGCACGGTGAGCTTACCACTTGCGCCGGCGGCGGCGATCCGGACGCCGCGGCGGCTGGGGCAGCGGCTGCGGCGGGAGGCGGCGGCGGCGACGCCATCTTGGGAGGTCGAGGGGTTAGGGTTTTAGGAGGAAGTGGGGCGGGGGCGAAATGGGCAGGTCGGGACTCGGGAGAAAGGCGGAGAGGAGGCGGGGGTTTGTCTCTGGTGTCTCTTTTCCCGCAAAGCTGGCGAGTGGAAACACAGAGCGAGAGGGAAAGGGTGGTGGTGGCGGCGGCGGCGGGGGTTATACGGGTACGGGCTGGGGGCAGTGGCACGTGCGAGCCAAGCGCGCGTGAGGGCCCGTGGGACGTTGGGCGTTGGGACTCGGGGCGCGCGAGGCTGAACGGCCGTGATGGGACGGGAAGGACGGCGCGGGTGGGTCCGTGGGTGATGCGGCACGCGCGCGTTTTCACCGTGGTTTTCAGTCGGTTTGAGTAGTTCCACCGATCGGCTGCAGGTCGCGCAACGGCGCAGGAGGTGGCGTTCCCGCATTGGTGGAGACAAGGGAGAAATTTTATGATGAATAGTCTGAGTATACAGATGGATATCAACATCGTAAATATACGATTTAAGTTTTCGAATTTGAGTACGGTATTATATATTGAATGTCCGTGAAAGCGGATCAATAATCACGCAATAGTTAGATTCACTGATCAATCCTAATACATATAGGACTTGCCATCGAGAGCAAGCGAACCTGGCCGAGCATACGTCGTCTCTATGCGTGCATGGGCTTGTAGCAATTAGGCCCAATGACATGATTACAAGATGCTAACCGAAAGGCCTAATAAACCTATCTAACACCCCCTCCTACAGTCGGAGCGTTGTCAGCCACGAAGATGAACATTCAGACCGGAACGAAACTCGATGAAAACTGAAGATGGAAGACCCTTGGTGAAGATGCCAGCATACTGAGATGACGTAGGCACATGAAGAACACGAAAAGCCCCGGCGGCGACCTTGTCACGAACAAAGTGTACATCAATCTCGATGTGCTTCGTGCGCTGATGTTGCACAGGATTAGTCGAGAGGTAAACTGCACTGATGTTGTCACAATACACCAAGGTGGATCGACGAACGGGACAAAAAGATTGGGATAACATTTACACCCGAAAACGCGTAGATGAGAATATATGGGCTGGACTCCATAGAGGGCAAAAAATGGTGTCGAAAAATCTAGCATTTTGGTGGGATGTAAATTTAGGAGATATGTGGCAGTTTGGAGGGCCTCAACCTAGTACGGTGAGGGCATACTAGCCTGAAACAAAAAAGAGCGCATAATATTATTAGTGGTATGAATAATGTGCTCTGCTTTACCGTTTTGGGGAGGTATGGTGGCATGACATGCGCATGGTGATAACCTTAGTAAGAAAAAGGAAACGGGAGGTCGAATTGTCAAATTCGCGCCCATTGTCGCATTGGGCAGTCTTAACTATGGTTCCAAACTGAGTCGCAACACAGGCGAAAAAAATCAGACAGTGTGGCAAAAGTGTCGGATTTCAGGCGTAAAGGGAAAGTCCATGTAAAGTGTGAGCAATCATCAAGAATAATGAGATAATATTTATAGCCAGAGACACTAGCAACAGGGGATGTCCACAAATCACAATGAATTAAATCAAAATTCTTAGTGACACGCGAAGTGGAAGTATGAAATGGCCGGCGTACATGACGACCAAGCTAGCAGGCATGACAGATAGCCTCGAGCTCACTTTTATTGCATGAAACTGAAGGGACTAATTTAGATAAAGCCTTGACACCTAAATGACCAAGACGACCATGCCAAAGGGTACTAGGTGTGGCAACAGCAGCAAGGGCATGCGGCGACACATGGAAGGAGTAGAGGCGCCCCGAGCTATTACATCGGACGAGTACGTTCCCGGTTGCTAGATCCTTCACAGAAAGACCAAACGAATCAAATTCGACAGAGCAAGAATTATCAGTAGTGAATTGTTGAACAGAAATAAGGTTTTTAATTATATGTGGTGAAACAAGAACGTTACGAAGATATAGGGGACGCTCGGCAGAAAAAGTAGTATGGCCAGTGGAGGTAACGGGTAGCAATGACCCATTACCGACAATAATGCTAGATGGACTAGCTGATGAAGGAGAAGAGGATGAGAGCAGGGGCATTATCATTGTTGGATGCCATGTGAGCGTCAGCGCCGGAATCCATGTACCACTCGTTTGTCGGAGGGGGAGTGAGGGTCATGGTGCTAAATGAATTAGCGAGCGACGGCTGATCCCAGAACATAGGTGGCGGTGAAGGGGACCATGTGCCTGCAGGTGGAGCGCCGAACGGGTAGCCACCAGTGGAGGGGCAAGGCGCTGCGCCTGGCATGCTGGAGCCGGCGGGCGCACCTAGCACACCGTAGCCAGCAGTGGCGTCGTAGCCCGGTGCGCCAAAACTGGGAGGCACGCCGGTTGTAGTGAAGGCATGCCCAGGGGCCACGGGGTGCTGCTGCTGGACGGGAGCGCATGGACGAGCGCTCAGAACGCCAGGGGTTTAACCCGGCCACACCTAGAAGGTACCACTAAGTCACACATGGTTTGTAGGGGCGGTTCAAGACCATTTGTAGGGGCGGTTTGGCCAGCCGCCCCTACCAAACCATCTCTACAAATCATGCATTTGTAGGGGCGGTTCCCAGACCGCCCCTACAAATTGATTTGTAGCGGCGGCTACTATTATCAATCGCCCCTACAAATCGATTTGTAGGGGCGGCTGTAGTACCAGTCGCCCCTATAATACCTGTTTGTAGGGGCGGTTCAGTCTAGAATCGTCCCTACAATACATTTTTCCGTCAAAAAATTTAAATTTACAATTCAAATTCGACCAGAACATACATATGACCTTGTTTGTTTCCGCGTATTCCCGTGTTCGCGTTGCGAGTGTGCGAGGAAAGTGAGATAATCTTACCGAACGCCCCGCGACCAACGTTCCGATCCGCGTTCCCTCAAGAGTATTATATAAACTACAAGCACAATAGTATTATATAAACTACAATTACAAGTTCAATTCACAAGAATATATACAATCCATTATTAAATAGACATAATTCACAAGGTAAAACCAATGTCAAATTCCATACACATTGTTATCAACGGCCTAGAGCTAGCCTTTCAGTCTCACGAAGGTGTTGGTACTGAGGATTTCTACCTAAGTCAGACTCTCGGTCATGGTAGGTGCCTTTGATGTGTACAATCTAGTCCAATATGAAGTTGCAAAAGTCACCGACGAGCTCTAAGAGTTGCTCATCCTTGTATGGGTCTCTTTTCATTTCTTTCTCTTCTTTCCACTACAAGAGAACAAGTTTCGGTTTAGTATTTCATACCATGTACGAAGTTTTTATATTACGAGTGAAGAGGTTCAAACTTACCCTTAAGGGATGTCTTCTGTAGGCACCAGTGTTACTCATCATAGAACATATATAGTATCCACAATGTACACTCTCAGGCTTCTGCTTGGGGCACTGTGTATTTTGCATATGGAAATGTTAAGTAATGCTTTTGACACCATGTAATGGAGTACTGAAGAAGTAAGTTACACTTACCGCACATAGTATTTTTATAGCCAGCTTTTCTTTTCTTACTAGATCATGCCTTCCGTGATGTTTAGTGACATAGAACCTAAATGCCCTATTCAAATTATTTTAGCAAATACAACTTGTTAGTATCCAAAAGTGAACGTTACAAGTATGTATACAAACATATAAGCTAATTAGGATTGTCGATATGTATACGTCTTGAGAATCGATATGAAGTCTTTATATGTCACCGGGTCCCTATCTATTGAATCAAAGACCCATGCCATGCTCCTCCCGACATCGACGCCTATACAAATCCAGTGGTTGCTGCATGAATTTAATCATAGAACTAGATAAGCTCTTTTGCATCGAATAAAATATATCGAACAAAGCTTTAAGTATAGAGTTGAACTTACTCAAAGTTGTATGGTAGCCATATAGTAGAGTGTTGTTGGAAAATTTTAAAAGCCAGGGCAATGTATGCCAAAACCTTAAGGGACTCTTCCCTTAGTTTCTTCGTACGGATGTGCTCTTTCTCCCGAAGGGTCTTTCCAGCAGCTAGCTCTTTGTCATCCAGTTTCCACTATTTAAGGTAATTAAAATTTGTTTGTGCTATAGCTTGAGGGTCTATGTACCCAGCTTTCACACTTGGCATTTATTTTACAATGTGCACTTGCATTCTACAAATCATGGCGTGGGTTAGTTACAACAAAATTCAAAGATTACATTCATATCATATCGGAAGGACAAGGACTTATAGGCACCACGTGCGAATTAGATTTATTTCCATTACTCCGAGGTGAAAGCATGTCTACATGTCATTGAAGTCAAAGACAATTTTCCCGGCTAGGCTTTCAAATGTGTCGGTGGGGAAGCATGCTTGTACAAGGTCTATGCTCGTTGGGAGAACACGCAAGTACCAATTATGGAACCTTCTCATTCCAAGTGGTAGGCGCTAGATGTTCCAGTTTGGTAGGAAGGGCTTGCCTCTTTCATATGTTTTTGAGCAATCATTTGACCATTTGATGGCATCAATATTTGGATACTGCTTTGTTGTTTGGTGGAGTTTGCTAGTGACGGCCTCCTCAGAAGCCCGTGATGAGACTTTTTTAACTTGGTTCTCAGGCTTGAACTGGTCATGGGAATACCACTTGTGCATCGATGAAACGTCTTTCATCGGAACATAAATTAGTCTTATGGTGATTGGATGCTTCTTTCGAAGTTCCCATTCAGGCACATCCTCATCTTCTTGTGCATCATCTTCTTCAGGAGGCACTCGTTGTTCATGTATCGGCTGTGCTTGTTAAGAAGACTGTGGCATCTCATTATGCACTTGCTCGGTACGAGCTAGAGAAGGTTGTGGTTTATCAGGCACATGCTCACTAGGAGGCGGGGAAGAATATGGCATCTCAGGGATGTGGTGGTCGCGAGACGGTGAAAATATCTCCCTGACCTCAACAACTCGCTCCAAATTTGAGAGAGGGGGATGCTGTGAAGAAGCAGTCAATATAATGTCCCGTTTGTGCCAGAGAATGAAC